CTCTCACATTGACCAGTACACTCAATCATCTGGCATGTTAAGCTGAGTAAAATAATTTGGTAGCACTTAAAAGGTTGAACAAACTTTTCTAGACTTGGCACATGTAAAATGCAGCGTTTAGACCAGACGTATTAAACAGAATATATGTTCTTTGTATGTTTGCATGGTGATAAAATATAATAGGTTTTGTTTGTGGAAACACGAGCGAGCCAACAGATGACGACACTTTTGTATATAAAAAGAGCGTGTGAATTAAACAAGTCACATATTATTAGCACTGATGAAGATCCGGGCTTACGGATCGAAAGCTTTGCAGTAATAAATTTACGTGGTGTTTCCACAAACAAAACCTATTAGAATATATGTTGTCTGTATGTGTACAGTCTTGCAGATAACCATTAATATAGCAAAGAAAGAATACTGAGAAACAACCAAATATATCAGTATCACTCACTCACCATTCAGTAACAAGATTGGGCTTCGTCCACAACAATCGCTTTTAAATTGTCTGTATATTTCGTAAATTATAATAAAAATTCAAAAACTTTCATGTTCTCCAATTGATTGCTGTCCGTATACAATGACTCTCCCAAACTACACATTGTATCCTTCGATTCATCAACTTGAACAGCTTTCATAATTGAAACATTTACATGATCCTTTAGTTTACTGATTTGGTCAATCATTAAAACATTTAATGGTGAAATAACCAGATCAAATTAATGTTTATCTTGCATGTAAAACATTATTTCTTTCGAGAAATTCTCAAAGTTCACTCCTTGCAAAAAAGATGCAGAGTCAGCATTTTATTACGTTTACTTCCGGCAAACTACAAGATTTTTGAAGTTCCGGTTTTGGTTTTCGCCAGGGCCTCCGGCAACCTCGTACCCAGGGTCCCCGTAGTGGGACCCTGGCAAACTCTGATTGCGTGACGTCACAAATCTTGAAGATTACGTAATTTGTAACTTTATGATCCGGGGGGCGATGGCCACTTTCACTGTGACTGTGCAAGCAAACTTCGCGAAGGGCGAATGCAAATAAATACAGAATATGAAATAAAAGATATATAAACACAAAGATCTTCTTACAATTTCGTTAACCTACTGGCGGCGGCAATCTACATACTTTTGCTAATCTTGTCTATCGAAGGAATTCGAAGAACGGAAGAAGTATGAAAATTGACAATTTAAAAAGATGAATCACAATCAAAAATTGGCTATTTTATATGATAGATCTCTAAAAGTCCATTTAATATTGACAGGAATGCTTTGCTACATAAATTATAGCCTATAATGGACTCATTATTGGATAAAAAAGACGACAATTTTAATTATTTTAAAGAACCTGACTGGCAAGGCTATGCAGTATGCATTAAGTGTATAAATTGTATGTATATTTTATTATTAAAACCTAATACAGTTCTTAAATTTTTAAATTGATTTTGTCTGTCCTTATTTTTTTATCAGCATCATTGATGCTGATTTTTGAAAATACCACTTCTAAAGCACATGTCTATGTTATATTATATTGTGGAATTTTTCAATTTGACATGCATGTAGAAATTTTAAATATATAATTCATCTAATTATGATGTACAGTAATGTGTAAACAAAA